GTTTAGGGCTGTTGTATGAGTTGGGAAAGGACTCGAAGGCACATAACAACAACAACGTTGTTCAGCCAAACACCAAAACCAAGATCCCTCCCCCGCGTCCGAGTTGGACCAATCCAACAAGTATAGTGGCTACGACTCAGACCAATAAGCACCCATCTTCTGGGCATCTCCCACCAAACGGCTTTCTCATTGGTTTTCTTCCCCTGTGCGCGGCGTTGCCCTGGCAACCAAGCTACTGGGACGCGAGTGTCCCTGTCTCTGGGCTACCAGGGCCTTATGCTCCGTACTGGCCCTGCTCGCTTCCGGCACCATGTCGGTGAGAACGCTGCCGCTCCTCTTTTTGAACTTGGGCGGGGAGATGCTTTACATCCTAGACCAGCGGCTGCGGGCCCAGAACATCCCGGCAGACAAGGCCCGCAAAGGTGAGAGGCGCCGGGTCCGCACATCCACACCAGTACCCCACCGCCCGGGCTATTTACCACTACGCGACACCCACAGCTGCAGCCACAACCCATCCTCTGTGCAGCCCAACCAGTGCAATAGCCCTGCACACAGCGTTTGTGTTGCCGGGGGCCTTTCTCATACCCTCACAGCCGGAGCCCCCCTGGAGTCGAGATCCCCGAAACATCTCTCCACAGCAAAAGGATGTTACCTCCGTTGGGTACAATTAGTGTACCCGATCCCTCCTGTTTCCTCATTCTCTCAAAAAGGAGAGATGACTTCTCAGTCTTTCCTGACACCAGGTCCCTACCAAATGGTAGAACCCCAGCTGTAACATCGCCTTTGCTAACGGAAACATTCTCTTTAGCCCCAAGAAACAGATTGTGATTTTTCCATACCTCTCACAAAAGCTGGAGACTAGTTTTGCATATTTCAGAAACTGTTTTAAGAACATTGGAGTTCTGAAATTATGTGGATAAGTGAAAAAAACCATGCCTTTCCAAGTGTTGGTGGAGAATGCAGTTATAGAAATAATATGATCGTCTCTAAAATGGCTCCCACACACCACATCTCATCCCCAGCGAAATTGCACTACCTCCACCCCCCAGACCCTCTGCCATCCTTTTCCAGCCCCACGGTCTTCCCTTCTTCCTTATTGACCCAACAACTGCTTTCATTAAGTTTTCTGGGATGAAAGAAATATTTCAAGACAGGAACAGAAAGGTTGAACTGAAGATAATTGATAGTTGTTATTGTTGCTGTTGATTGTCTTCAAGTCTAGCACGACCCAATGAAAAGGGGGCCTGAAGCCCCTCTACAACTATCAACATTTATCAAAGTTCATAGAGTATCTGGAGGCATGTTATTTAGGAAGTGGGTGCTACTATTTAAGACGTTTATTCTCCTCAAAACTCTCTCTGTATGCTCAACTGATGTTAAATGTACATATTTTTTAAAAACCCCATACATATTCAAATGTTAGCATATATATTCAGGTATTAACTGTTTTGTTGGTGTGACTTGATCCAAATCCTTGCGCAAGCGAGGAAAAAAAAGAACTCGCTATAACATACACTTTTCATTTATTCTGCCCACTGCTGCCAGTAAGCTTTCTGAAAATGCAAACTCTCCATACTCCTCCCTGCTTGAAACCCATCACCTCTCTCCCATTGCTGTTTGAATCAAGTCCAAGTCTCTGAGTTTGACATTTTAGGGCCTTTGCTTGTCTGTTCTCTGTCCACCTCTGCAGTGCCATCTCCCACCACTGCCTGCCTCCTGCTTGCTTTTTAACAATGCCAGACTGCTTCTAGGTCCCCACTTGAACCATGTTCTTCTGTCTCCATGCTAATAGTCCCCATTCCATTGTCATTCTCCTTCCATCCTGTGGCATTCAGCTTAAGAATCATCTCCCCATGGAGAAGGTAACCTGCCACTAATCTCATAGTCACCTCTGTCTGTCTTACTGGCTGTCTGCACCTGGAGTGATCTGTGTGTCTGTTTCTCCCATTTGATTGCCCTCTTTTTGTACCCTGCCATCTAGTTTAGTGCTTAGTCCAAAGTATATTCATGCTCAATAAATGTTTGTTGAACTGATGATCTAAATAGACTGCTTCATATTATGTTGCCATTTCTTCCTCAAGAAAGTTCTCTTTTTCTTGGTACCTTTGTTTCCCAATCTCATTCTGTCTAAAAGCACTGGTGTGCCCACAAGGCCAGAGTTCTCAGACTAGTAGTCTGCATCTTGGAAGTCCTGTAAATTGTCAGTTAAGAGGATGGTCTCTGAAGCCATACAGCTCTGCATCTTAGTTCAAGCATAGCTATTGTACTAGTTGTATGTGACTAGTGTATAACCTGTCTTTCTTCATAAAGTGGGGATCATAAAGCATACTTTAGGAAGCTCTGGTGGAGAATTGTACTTCTGACCCAAAGGTGGCACCTCTAATAGTTTGAATCCACCTGTGGCTCCTTGGGGGAAGAAAACCCCAAAAACTTATTTCTATTGAGTCTGATCCAGCTTACAGCTGACCCTCCAGCAGGTTTTCTGAGATTATAAATTGCGTGATAGTAGACTGCCCACCTTTCTCCTGAGAAGCTACTGGTTGATTAAAACTTCTGGCGAGAAGAGGCCTTCAGTTAGTGGCACAACTCCCTACTGACTACACCACTAGAGTCTGAGGAAGAAGGTAGATAATCTCCCACGTGGTTTACAGCCTCTGAAAACCCCTTAGAGGAGCAGCAGTGAGTAAGTTCTGACTCAATGGCAGTGTCTCCCCCCTCATGACTTAGAGTTTTATTGTTGTTGTTGTTGTTGTTTTTTAAGGACATTGTAAAATTACTTCCCACTCATGGCAATCAGGATATTGGAAGATTGGATGAGATAAAGTATGTGTCCGTGTTTAGCACCATAAATAGTAGATGTTATCTTTCAAGAGGCAATTGAGCCCAGTGAATACCAGGCAACCAGATTCATTGTCTTCAAGGACTACAGGCTTTCTTCTGGTTTTGGTAGATTCAGCTTTAAGAATTTTCACACATTGTTAATGGGAACTCATTTACACATTCATTCCGTAGTTTTGAGTTAAGTGGTGATACCATGTGAGATGCCTTTCATGCATCTAGTCAAATAACTGATAAGCTGGTCATCCCTTCCTAATGACAGCAACAATCATTTATTAAGCATTTATAATGCCAGCGGCTCTACAACTTTCCAACCAAATAGATCATTTTACTATTCCCACTTTACAGTTAAGGAAACTTAAAGCTCATTTCCCCCCAAAGCTACATAACTGTTAAGAGAAAGAACAAAGGTTATGATGTCAGGCAGTTGAGTTTCAGAGCCCATACTCTTACCCAGGACTCCCTTAATCTCTGTAGAGCTCTGGTGGCCTAGTGGCAAGGAGCTGCACTGCAGTTCCCAAGTCACATGATTCAAGGCTACCAGATGCTTTGTAGGGGAAGGATGAGCAGTGTGCATTCTCCTCCCAAGCACTTAACTGCCTCTGAAAACCCACTGGAAGGTCAGCTATGAATCAGTTCTGACTCTATAGTGAACATCAATACTGTCTCACGTGGGGATGGTATCAGAATCTTAGGGTTTGTGGTAGTTGGTAGATCAGAAAAAAATATCCAATATATCCATTGATTTTATAAAATAAATGACAGAAAGTAGTTGGCTAGTGGGTAGTTGTAGTTTGGGAGAATATGGTAGGGAGTATGGGATTCAGACACTTGAAAGACATCTTCCAGCATCTAGAGAGATGGTATTGCTGCAAGAACCACTATGACTAATGCCTAGGCAGAGGGCCTCTAAAACTCAAAGCACAGTGAACTAGCTCTTTATTGAAGCTTAGAATGGGAATCCTATTTCTTCTGGATGTTTTCATTATCTTACTCAACTAATTGGTCTCTTGGAGGCCATCCTCGTTCCCACTAGACCAATGCAAATGTTGCCGTTTTCCTGCACAGTGCAGCTTCTCCGTTAACATTCAACAGAAAGGAAGCGTTCTCTCTATGGGGCAACTTTTAAATGTTGCATATTGAATTGTGTCCCACGTTTTAAGCAATAGTGAGGATAATAAAAACTGCCTGTGCCTCCCTGCCAACACCTTAAAAAATGCTCATAAATAACTTCCCTATTACATTTTGTCTAAATTATAAATTTTACAGAATGGGAAACCGAGGCATGGAGCCACTAAGTGATAATCCCCCCCCCCCGCCAGACATTCAGTTTATATAGTATAGCACTGAACAAACACATAATGATTAGATTATGTTTTATTTTTCTGGTTCCAACTTAATAGCTATCTCTGAATACCCTTAGGCCTGACTCCCATTTAAAATATAACTAAAGTGGAATTGTCACAAATAAGTCATCTGGAGAAATAATAGAAAAACAAGGCCTCATTTCCCCCTCTAGGAAGAAGGGCTGGAACATACAGTACTGCAGAGAACTCTGCTGGAGCTGAGTATCATTGCCCAGGAGAGTGACACACCTGAGTATGCCTCTCCTTTTTTGTCAACAGCAGGTAGTCCCTTGTCCCCAGGTCGGTCACTGCCCCACAGAGATGAGCCATTTGCAGAAGAGTTGTTCTTAAACACACTTCAGAGAGTCACCTCTCAGAATTCCTAACAAGACTGCTTGCTAAATAAATGTCCTGGAAAGATAGAAGATACAGGCAATATGCCAGAGAAACCAGTATTTGCTTTAAGAAAACCAGTCTCTTGTCTCTGTTTCTCAGTCTTTTTCTCTCCAGCTGCCTGTGACTCTTGTGGAAGAGGGGGCAGTTATGATTTCAGTGGTAGAATTCTTGCCTCCCACACCTCAATTCCTGGCAGTACACTCCTTGTACAGCTATCACCCATCTGCCAGTGGAGGTTTGCATGTGCTGTATAATACTAAATAGGTTACTGAGGAGCTTGTAGACTAAAATAGATGAGGGATGAAGGTCTGGTCATCTACTTACAGAAAAAAAAAATGAGCCCATGGTAGCCGTATGAATCACAATAATCCAACTCCCTGCATAATGGGTCACCACAAGTCGGACTGACTTGTGGATGACGGATGATGAATTTTCAAAGAGGAGTCTCACCTGACAAATGGAAACCTTTTGCTCTTAGTTAAATCACGGTACCCTGTGTGCTCTCAGACTGTTGGTATTGTATATATGCATGTATATACATGTATATTCCTCATATGTGTAAACATGTATGTTTTATCTATAACTTAATATTGTATATATACTTGTATATACTTTATTACAGATGTTTTTAAAGATATGGAGATAGATAGATATAAAACTATATCTGTGGATGGTTTTTAAAAAGTAAAAATCTCTCAAAAAACTAAAGTAAAAACCAAAATCATTATTCCTCTGTTACGGGTGAAGTCCAGCATACCTCAGTATAGAAAATAGAAACTAGAAGAGTAGCTAGCTGAGTGCTTGATATTCATTTCCTAGTGAAGTAGGTGATAATATGATCC